AATCACGTCTGTTCTCTAAACTTCTATCTCCTCATCTATAAACTAGGAATACCTTCCAGAGTCACGAAGTGCCTCGCACAATGTCAGATGTTAAGCAAGTGCCCCACAAGTATTAGTGGGGCACTCATTCCCTTTCTATTCAGAGCTAAAACTTAGCTTAAACCACTGCAGTCAACTCTTAATTATTTGGTTAACAGAAATGACCAAAATTAATGAAAAATCAATCTCATAGCTTCAGCCTTTCCACTGTCTAAGTAAACAATCTGAAAGTATGGGTAATACTAATCCAAATAAGCCTAAATTCCTGGTTGCTTTGGAATGCACATTCTGTCAGTAGACTTCCTCTTCTAATTTTGGTTTTCTATATTCTATTTTAGTCTAAGTTTGGTTTTCTATATTCTATTTTAGAAGTCTGTATCCTCTAAGTCCATGACATCAACAATCGACCAATGTCTGGAGGTAGCTTGGGTGGAAGCAAGAGTAAGAAGGGAAAAGAAGAGGACGAAATATCTACTTCATGGACCATTCCTAACTCCTCAGACAAATCAAAAGCTGAAATGTGATTCTGCCACGCGCCTGGAGACAGAATATGATACTAACCTATCCCCTGACTGCAGCTAATGGATGAGTGACCGAAATCAAACCAATCTCTCCCACAAAACCAGAATTGGGACTAAGATTATAGTTCAATCTGGCTGACCACTAAAAGGAAGGAAATGAAAAAACAAGAAGGTGTGGTGGCCATCTTTCACCTGCAACAAAGGCTAATAAGAAGCAGAGGGAAGTGGTCTGCAGATGAATGACTCAAATGTGCAAGAAGCTGTGTGGGTCCCAATTCCTGATCCGAGCACTTTCTGAGGTACCTCAGTACATTTGATGCTTTACTATTTAAAGTAGCTTGAGTTGGTTTTTGATACTTGCAACCAATTAAATCTAACTAATTCCCAATCTGCTCTGCCTCTTTTATTCCCCAAATAAATGGCATCACTGCTCTCCCAGGGGGCTGGGCCAAAAGGCAGGGGTCAGCCTTGAATCCTCACCTGGATCCATGACATCCAATCAACCCCCTAGTCTTATCACTTCTACCTCCTAAACAGACCTGGAGCCTCCAGTTCTTTCCAGGCCCTGCTACGCCCTTTTCCAGACGGCCATCATCTCACACACTGTGTCTCTGACAGTCTTGCTCCCTCCAGGCCTTTCACCATCTGTGATCAGAGAATTCTCGCTCAGCCTTTAAGGGCTCTTCACTACCCCAGAATAGAAAGGCCTTTGCATGGCATCTAAGGCATATTATCATCTGGCCTCAACCTTTTTATCTCAGTAACCTCTTCTTTTTTTCATATATATATATATATATATATACATATATATATATATATATATTTCAGAGGGGAAGGAGGAAGAAAAGAGAGAGACAGAAACATGAATGATGAGAGATAATCATTGATTGGCTGCCTCCTTCCTACTCCCCCACTGGGGATCAAGCCTGCAACCCAGGCATGTGCCCTTGACTGGAATCAAACCCGGGACCTTAGTCCCCAGGCTGACGCTCCATCCACTAAGCCAAACTGGCTAGGGCTGTAACACCTTCCCTCATCACTTCCCCTGCCCACCCATGGGCTCCAGTTGCTGTACCTTCAGGTTCTCCCACAGCATTTTCATTCTCTCTCCCCTCTAGGCTTCTGTACATTTTATTCCCTCTGCCTGAGGGGCTCCTCCCCAGTCCACCGCTCTTTCTCTGGCTACCTCCCACTCATCTGTTTCTCTCTCTTCAGCTATCTCCTCTTTCTGGAAGCCTCCCCAACCTCTGGACTGGTGTGCTCCCATGGCACCAGCTCTATCCTCTGACTTGACCTGAAATCCATTTCCTTGTTGGGCTCCTCCAATAGACCATAAGCTCCTTTTGAACAGGGTCTATCATGTTCACTGCTATACTCTTAGCTCCTGGCAGAGAAGTAGCTCAATACTGAGTTAATTTAATTAATAAAAGTTCAGCGTTAATTACTTCTACTTTAGCACCCAACTCTAAAGGGAAATTACTTAAGGAAACCTAATTCGTTTATTTAAACGTGTACTGAGAGCCTACTAAGTGTAAGACACAAAGCTTAGATCCAGAGGGGCTGAGACGTGGAGGGGGCACGATTTCAGAGGCGAAGGTCACCCTCACCTGATCATCTTGAATACTCCTAGGCTATCTTTCTTTCCCCAGGAATTATGTGTTCAGAGAACAATAATAACTTGAACAGAACAAAGTGGGAAACGGAGCCAGCTGAAGGCCAGCATGTGACTTAATTTTAACTATCCATGTCACACAGTTCACCTCAGAAACTTAGTGAATTAGACTTACAAGGAAGGGACAGAGTTAGGAGTCCTCAGAGTTTGCTGCCATGCCAGCCAGCCTAAATGGAAGGCTCAGTAGTCCCCCCCGACCAGCAACTTCCCTACTGCTGCCTTCCCAGACCTAGAAATGAGCCTTTACATGTCACTGTGGAAGGAGGCAGCTGGTTCAGTGCCCCTTCCCCCAGACACCACAGTGAGGCTAAGGTACAGTCTGGGGAGAGAACTGTGAAGAGGGGAGAAAAGAGAATGCCAAGGAAATGAACCTATTTTCCTCTGTCCTATTCAGGGGCTTTCCTTTGTTTCAGATTAAATTCAGGTCAAAGTAAATGTCAGTGTGGCAGCAAGAGGCTTTTGGACCCTAGACTTAAAAATGACAGACTCAGGTGAGAAAGGAGGAGGAAATAATCTGGAAGAAAGTTTGGAACAAGTAGGGAGGGAGATTCTGGAACCGCCCTTCCCATGAATAATCCACATTTATTTGAGTTCATTCACTCAGAAAATGCTTAGTAGTACTCACTATGTGCCAAGCACTGTTTTAAACCACTCGCAGTGGTTCTCAACCTTCCTAATGCCGCAACCCTTTAATACAGTTCCTCATGTTGTGGTGACCCCCAACCATAAAATTATTTTCATTGCTACTTCATAACTGTAATTTTGCTACTGTTATGAATCGTAATGTAAATACCTGATATGCAGGATGTGTTTTCAGGGGTCGCGACCCACAGGTTGAGAACCGCTGCCTAGAGACATAGTGTGAATAAAATAAACCATAAACCATGCCTCTGTGGAGGCAACGAAACTAGACAGTATACTGCCCGGCCGGCGTGGCTCAGTGGTTGCGTGTCAACCTATGAGCCAGGAGGTCACGGTTTGACTCCCAGTCAGGGCACATGCCCAGGTTGCAGGCTCGATCCCCAGTGTGGGGCGTGCAGGAGGCAGCTGATCAATGATTCTCTCTCATCATTGATGTTTCTATCTCTCTCTCCCTCTCCCTTCCTCTCTAAAAAACAAACAAACAAAAAAAGTAGATAGTATGTTAGGGAGGGGAAAAAAAAAAGGAGACATATGTAATACTCTTTGTAATACTTTAAGCAATAAAACAATTTTTAAAAAAGTAGATAGTATGTTAGGCGGTGGTAAGTGCTAGAGAGAAAAATAAAACAAAGGGGTGGGGAAGAGTGGGTGATAGAAAGTTGCAATTTAAATAGGTAGTCTAGGAAGTCCTCACTGAAAACATGTCTTTTTTTTAATATATTTCTATTGATTTCAGAGACAGCGCCCGCCACCTGGGCATGTGCCCTTGGCCAGAATCGAACCCGGGACTCTTCAGTCTGCAGGCCGATGCTCTATCCACTGAGCCAAACCGGCTAGGGCAGAAAACATGTCTTTTAAGCTAAGAACTGAAAGAGGAGAGGGAGAGAACATTAGGATTCCTGGGGAAGAAACCCAGGGACCAGGAAGCACTAAGAACGGAAACGGCACCCAGGCAGCGTTGGAAGTCTGAAGGAAAGCGGTAAGAAAAGAGCAAGAAGCTTCTCTTGGGGGGTTCCTGAAGGTAAGCCAGGGACTGACCAGTTAACTTTTCAGAAGAGAAAGAAAGGAAGGAACTCAGGATAACTCTAAAACACGACCTGCCCATCCCGGCTGGTGTGGCTCAATGGTCAAGCATCAACCCATGCACCAGCTCCATGACTGGTCAGGGCACATACCCGGGTTTCGGGCTTGGTCTCCGGTCGGGGATGTGAAGGTGGCAGCCGAGGGATGCTTCTCTCTCGCTGTTTCTATCTGTCTCTCCCTCTCCCTGCCTCTCTCTGAGATCAATAAACACACACACATATAAAACACTACCTGCCCCGATCCCCAAAGTATTCCAGAAAAGGCCTTCTAGTTTTCTGCTCTAATAAACAGAAAATATAAGCTTGGCTGCCTCTTCTAGAAATAGTCCCCAAGCATCCTAACTCACCTAAGCCTGACAACACCCGAATGGTGAAACTGAGTCACGGACCTGGGGTTCAGACAGACCCACTCTGCCCTCCACCAGGTAAGATCTTACACGCTCAACACCTGTTTCTCAACTGTAAGAACCCGAGTTCTGTCATATTTGAAGGAAGGGTCAAAGCCTGCCGAACGATCTGAACTCAACAAATACTCCATTTCTTCCCTAACTCCCCTCAAAAATAGAACCCAGGATTCCTACCCTTTTCCTTCAGACCCTGATGCTTGTAAGTCCCGCGGCAAAGGGAGAGGTTAGTCTCGAGTTCAGCCTAAGGGCTTCAAGAATCCTATCTCCTGTCACTTCCCAGGTCCCAGATGTTATGCTGCTCTCAGCGTAAGAGGGAAAACAAAACAGCGCAAAAACCCTGGCCCGAGGTAGAGGATGCAACAAGAGGGAGCAGAGCCAGGTGTCCCGAGGCCTGAGCCTGGGTCTCAGGCCCAAGTGATGGGGTGCGACCCTTCTGCAGGCGGGTCCAGCCTCGAGAAGCCGCATGCACCAACCCCTTCACTCCCCGAGGTTGGCAACCTTCAGCTCAATTCATTGCGCTGTACTAGGAAGCCAGTGGCCTGGAGTCAATGGAAGCGTTCATCGGAGGGAGTCCTGCCTACAGCTGTGCCCATGCCCACACCCGATGGATGTAGGGGTGCCCTCCTCGGATACTCACATCCCCCTTATGCAGCTCCGGCGCCGCAATCTTCACGGGCTCCGTTCTCTTCTTTGGCTTGGGAAGCCCCAGGGGGGGCCCGGCACCGCCGATAGGGGGGGGCAGGCTGAGGCCAGGGCCCAGGGCCGG